AATTTCATTGCCCTAGCGCTTGTCATTAAAGACATATTTGTTCTGAAAAATGTCAATTTTAGCGCAATATTTGGAGGGATGAAAAAAACAAAGTAGTGCAAATACCAAAACAGTGTATCGTTACATTCTGCTCCGACATCATCTTAACGAAACTGCTATATTGGAACCGTATTATCTTTAATGGATCGTTCATAAAACATGAACTAGCGGAGCAAGTGAGGGTCCGCGCCATCATATTCGCAACGCTACAAACGCGCATGAACAGTAAAAACCAACACATACATAATATCAAATGAAAGAGGATTGCATTGCCTTTCAAAAGACATCAGTCCCACAAAACAGTATTTAAAAGGAGATGAGTAATGACCTGCCAAAAAGTACCTAAACTGCCACATTCAGTGGGACCGTGGCCTTAAAGGGATACTTCAACGAAATTCGAAATATTCCCGTCGTGTTCAAAAATAGGTTGAATATGATCCACAATATCCGTAAATGACAATCGCACGTTTTTATTTTGATCCTGGTGGCTGTATTTTTCGTTATAAACGGCCCACTCTGGCAAGCGCTCGGAGAAGGCCCAGCTTAGAGCACGTGACATCCAACGCAATCGTGACGTAGGTCGTCTCAAGATGAGCAAAGCTACGGCGAGGCTGATGTCGAGAGAATGGCCTAGTCGTTCCAGCCACCGAAGCGGCTGCTTTTGTACGAATTTTGAGTGACGGGTTAATCTTCTATAATCTTCTAGGGGGACAATAGCGACTTCTGCGACAGACAAAGGGTATTCTCGGGAAGAGGGGAGTTCCTCCTTCCCCTCTTCTCTGGTCGTGGCCGGAGACAAGACAACCTCCGTCACTAGCTGTCAAGGTTCCTAGACGAGCATTACAAACGAGGCGTTGGCGACATCCACCAGGTGCTCTTTGCTAATCGTTTAATTTGTTTTAAAATTCCTTTTCGAGACTTTTTTAACAAGATATTGGTATGCTCCATGTGATACTGCTTTTATGAACACATATAGACCAAAAAATGAGCGCCGAAATTTCGTTGTAGTATCCCTTTAAAGGGACGGTGCAACGATATCCAGTTGGAATGTTTTTCACTTTACACGAGCTTACTGGCACTAGTGGTTCTCAAGGATACTCACACGCAACACCACTGGCCAAGAAACTCCTTTGTTGCGCTGTAATTTCGAGGACAAAACCGAGCGTTTTCATTCAATCTCTCCTTCGCAAAACCTGGTGACGTAGCTGGGCGGTAGCAGTACCGCCCAGTGACGATATGTGAATGCGGCTCATAGATTGGACCTGAGCATGGCGTGGACACTCGATTTGGGCTCGTGATAATCGACAGCTCGAGAAGAATTCGGGTAGTGTCCGGTGTCTAATCGCTGCAATGACGACAACAGCCGAACCATAACAATGTCTGGAACGCAGCGCGTGTCCGGTGCCTTGCCAACCCCAGCGCGTGGCTATGATCAACACTGGCGCCATATAATCGGCTCCAGATCACGTGGCCGCTTGTTCTGGCTGCGAGTTGAGGGGTGAACTTTGCTCGTTTTTCTTTATTTTTTTCTACCACTTCGATTGCGTGTGGTGAAAAACGAACGGGTAATTCACAGGTCATTAACGTCAGGGATCCGTCCTAAGCGGTATTTGCGCAGAATACAAAAATCGTTGCATCGCCCCTTTAAGGCCGGTTCAGACATTTGCGTTTGAGTGCGTTGGACTGCTCTGCGTCGAGGATCGAAAGCGAGTCACCGGCACATATGTGCTTCGTATGAAGCGTGGAATCCAATTCAAACGATCATCTTGGCGCGCGATATAAGCAGCAGGGATGTCCTGGTTTCTCGCTGCCGCAACGCAATCAAACTCAGTCAAACGCAACTGTCTGAACCAGGCTTCATACCCGTGCCACACGAGCAACTCGAATGCCATTTACAACGAATGACTTTCGTGTGATCGACGAATCGGCTCGCGATCTGTCGCGCGTGGAACGCCCCACGCTCGGAGTGTCGCGCGCTGATTGGCCGATCGTTCAAATGTCATTCGTTGTAAATGGCATTCGAGTTGCCCGTGTGGCACAGGTATTAGACTCGCAGTTGCTTGAACTCATGTCGAAAAGAAAATTAGGTTGTGTGTTCGTTTATACAGCCTAGAACTTGGTCTGCCTCAATGGGCGAGGACTCTCCCGGCTGTAGATGAAAACTTTAGCCAGTGCAGTAACAACCGCTGGCCTGGGGTTTTTAACGTGCATCACGCAGTAGTGATAGACGGCCGCACGCCGGTACGGTGCTCACCCAAATCGAAACGGGCAGGAGTGGGGAATAACCCAGGATCCTGGGTTCTGCAGCACGAGCTTTACCTCCACGCGTGCTCCGAGCTGATGTGCGCTAAAGTCACTGGATCCTGGGAAAGTAGCGCCATTGCCTTCCTACCTGCTAGCCGGACACAAACGGATACTAACCTAAAGACGACCCAAACCTCGCAAGACGATTGGCTAATCGGCCTACGTTGCCATGGAAATCGCCATCTTGGTCCATTTAAATCTTCGAAGCTTCCAGGTGGTCGTTCTAAACCAGTCGCGCCAAGATCACCATGGAGCATCATCGTACTGGAAGCGTTCCTTGCCGATATAAGAGTATTTGGCACTTCGTATGCGATCAACTTATTAATCATGCCCATCTCCATGGATCTCTTACAATTATATTGTTCTTCTTGCGCATTTCAAGACAGTAAATTTATTTTTCAGTGCCTCCAAGCACCGACACAGCATCTGGTGGTGGTACGAACGTGTACGCCTGTTTCGGCGGTGTGTGGTTAGCAAAATCTCGGTATACAAAAAACGACTCAATAAAGCTACCCGTCACCAGCGAATCTAGATTGGCTCACCAAGAACGGAAGGGTCAAGGAGAAATTGCACATTTTATGGACCAAGATGGCGACCACACGCGGAGCTTGGCGTTACTTTCCCAGGATCCGGGGGATCGGTGGCCGAGTGGTCTAGCGCACACCAGCTCGGATCACGTGGAGCGAAAGCTCGCGCTGCAGAACCCAGGGATCCTGGGTTCGAGCCCCACCCCTGCCCGTTTCGATCTGGATGAGCATCGTACCGGCGTGCGGTCGTGTATCACTACTGCGTGGTGCACGTTAAAGACCCCAGGCTAGCGGGTGTATACTGCACTGGCTAAATTGCTCATCTACAGCTGGGAGACTCGTCGCCCCTGTGAGGCAGACCAAGTTCTAGGCTGTATAAACATACACACAACCCAATCTTATTTTTTTTCCCAGGATCCAGTGACTTTAATGTGCGCTAGCCCACTCGGTTACTCGGCCACCGACCCCCAATGATGAAACAAAGAATAGGGTGTGTCGACTTATGACACTAATTGAGCTATGTGCGACGTAGGTCATACGTGGTCATACGTAGCTTTGTTGTCACGATCCGAACTCGAAAAGCGACAGTTGAGGCAAATGGTTGCTTTCGTGTTTAGCTAGCGTTCGCATGGCAACCGTGTGGAATTATCACGCGTCCTGAGGCCAATGGGAGCGCTCGGTAACCATGGGAAAGGGTTTTCTTTTTTTCGTTCCCGTTTTAGACCAGGGCCCGTTTTCTCGAACGCGAACCGTGGTTTAAAGTTAACTATTGTCCTAGAAGGGGGAATTCTAGGTCACGTGACTGGGAGAGCAGGGGCGCCGAGGGAGGAGCAGTACCTACAAGCAAAATGGCCGCGACGTCGCTTAATGAGGGCTAATAGTTCTGCTTGGTTCTGCTGCACATTAATTTCGATCCGGCTGTTATATTAATGACGCAGCATCAACCTATTAGCACGTCAAGCAAAGCGGTAGTTCAGAGGGACTACTAAACTAACCGACGGCAGCATTCCGCGAATGCATCACTCTTCAGCAGTCCGGAATCCAAGACATATGACGGTACATAAGCCTTGCAAGTGTTTTTATGGTAAGTAAAAAAAATGTTTTGCGAACGAGTGTTGGTATATATTTATACTAACACGTTTAATTTGTTACACTATGCACGCCGACTCGTGAGCAGCGATAACTTTGCGGAGAAAGGGGGTTATCCTTGATAAAGTCTTCGTTCTGGGACATTGTACTGTTTTTTTTGTTCGCAGTGCGCCGACAGCATGCCGACAGCATCGAGGTTTCTACATATCTGCGGTGGCCAGCAATTCAACGGTAACGAGAAGCTTAGCTTCTCGTCACCGTTGACGAGAACGGTGACCAGCAATTCAACGGTGACGAGATCCACCGGTGACGAGAAGCTTAGCTTCTTGTCACTGGTGGATCGGTTGGGCAAACGGAAGAGAAGGCAAACAGTTGAGATCAGCAGGAATCGCAGAAACGCGCGTCGCAAGGAACAAAAATGAGAATACAGCACCGGCGTTGCCAGACTGGAAGGCACACGGGAAAGTTATGCGTTGTTTATGGCGAAAGATATTGAAGGAAATGTTTCTTACATTTTCGAATACTCGTCGACAAACTCTAGCATAGTAGCTAAAATTTCTTCGTACCATCTGAAGCAAATAAATTGGTCTTCAAGTACAACATTACTATATTTGCACGTATAATACCATACTAGATCGATAACAACCAGCAGAAAGAGGATAAACAAAATGACTGGCTTGTTTCACCGACAGATGGCGCATTTTACTGCCCATTCAAAAATAATTATTGTTGTTTTATATCCAGCCGTTTATTACAGTACCTAGGTACTTTTTCCTTCCTAGGCAGCGTGGTTTACCAAAATGGGTTTACTATCGCTTCGAGAAAACCAGCCCAGGAGAGCACCCAAGATCTAAACGCTGAAGGACATATAATCTCCTAGATTCTGCAGCGCAAACTTTTTCTCCACGTGCTTCGCACGTTTGACAACCGATCCTGTCGTGTTCCTAAAGCAGCAACCTTTACTGAAGAAGGTAGACGACGAGGATGAAAGCAAGACGTAGAATGTGGTAATTCATCTTCCTGAATTTCCTATCGAGTGCCATGGATCTAGCTAATAATCCCATTGAAACGACTGAAAGACATATCAGCGAGGACACCATCGAGATTGGAGTCGGGAGGTTCCAGGGAATGGTAATTTTCTGTGCCGTACTCGCAGCCGTTTCTTACTTCTGCCATGCTAGTAGTTTTGCTCTGACCGCCCGTGTTATGGACCACTGGTGTCGACCTCCCGATGGCATCACCATGAGCAGGAGTCAGTGGAAGAATGTCGCTATCCCAGTCACGAAGGACGGACGCCATAGCAGGTGCAGCATGTACAGCTTGCCGTTGAAGCCAGAAAATACCGCGATGCGCACACTCATTCCATGTATCGAGTGGGAATTCGACCTGGAAGAGTATGGCAACACCATCATAAGCGAATGGAGCCTCGTCTGCAACCGCTCCTGGTTGATTCCGCTGGCTTCACTGACATTTGACCTTGGCGGAGTATTAGGCGGTGTGATTTCCGGAATAGTAGCCGACAATATTGGCCGTAGACCTGTCGTGTGCTTGTGCGTTGTCGTTAATTTATTTGCTGGCTTCGCCAGTGGGCAAACCAATTTGTTTGCTGTTTTTCTGACAGTCCGATCTATTGTGGCGGGAAGTTCGGAGGGCCTTGTAAAGGTTCTAGCTGTCGCACTTTACGAAGTATCCCCACATCAGAAGTGGCCGCTGTACTGTTTCACCAATCTTGGTGTTGCATTGTTAATCGTGCCCCCATTCTTTTTGGTGCTTTCCCTGTTACAACTTAATTGGATGGAAGTTCACCTAGCTATAATGGTACCCACGGCGTTTCTCGTTTGTGTATTCTATATGATCCTCGAGTCGCCGCGCTGGCTTCTGGTCACCGGAAACATTCATGAAGCCTGGAAAGTGACACTTCTCGCTGCAAGCACCAACAGAGCTCCGTCCGAGGTCGCAATTAACTCGCTGAGAAAGGCGGGAAACGATTTAAAGTTTGCAACCAGCGAAAATGGGGATTCGCATCGTATCACCATCCAGCGTCTGCTGCTCGAACCGAAAACCCGCACACGTTCTGCCATTGTTTGTTTTGCTTGGCTCGCTGTAGACTTTGCATTCTCCGTACATATCTTCATGTACCCCTTCGCGATTCATGAGTCGTTCGCCATCGCGTCTGTCGTCCTTGTGCCCATCTGTTTCCCTATCGTTCTGTTTTCCTTCAATCAATTTGACAAGGAGAGCGTACTAGTGATAATTCTCTCAGTACTCAGCGTTGGAACGGCACTGCTAATGGTTGTTTACGACGAACCGCCGACAGTAATTGCGAGTGCCTTGCTGGTTTTTGTCCAACTGCTCTCCTCAGTGGCCTTCTTTGTTCTCTTCACCTTGACGGTGGAGCTGTTTCCGACTGCGCTTCGGTGCACAGGCTTTAGCCTCTCAGCTGCATTCGGGAGCGTGTCGACAATGTTTGCTACGCTAGTGACCCAGTTCGAAACGAAGCTACGCAAAGACTTGCTGCTGGCCCTCATCGCTACATTAGCGGTTTGCGGCGCACTTGCCTTGTGCAGTCTCACTGGCACAGCCTCTCCAACGGCGTTCTTCGGTCGTCTTCAGCCAGAAATGGAAGAAAACACCCAACGGCAACTTCAGTGGTCTCCGAGACCGTTTCCACCAGAGAGGCCAACAATGAAGGTCATGGATACAGCAGAGATGCCCGTGTCTCAGGCGCCGCCCTTAGAGCTCTCTGTCTTGCATGTTCTTCCTGGACAACCCATTCAACGCTTTCAATCCTCTCAACACTCCGGACCAGGGACTGGCGGACCATTCAAAGCTCAGACAGCCAAAAATAAGGGCCCGGCTCCTCATCATTCAGCCAAGCCACATGATAAAGGCTGTGCAACGCAGAGCTGCAAATACTGACAATAATTGGTACAAGAAATTATTTGGACAGTGGCTAATCTCGCTTATATTCTTAGTTTCAAAACTTATCGTAAAAAGTGAAAAAGGGGAAGTGTCTATGTAACGCGGACATAACGCTCATGTCTAATATCTGCCTCTTTAAGACGACGCCCCAAATCCAGTATTATTGCCTTTTGACGTAGGCTCGGAGCTGAATGGTGTGTGTTAGGTTTATCTCGCAGGACCTTATACGTGCATACGGCCTCGTCATGCAGTTGGAGTATTACTTTTTTTATCAATTGAGTCAATCAGGTGGGCAAGTGGTATAGTTAGACGAGCACCATCGATTGGTTTTTCCAGTGCAAAGCTGGTCGCGATATATTAAAATGCAATTGAAAGCTGATAATTTCATGTGACAATTTCTTTACATAGTAAAATTATTTACGCGCTGTTCATGTTCGAGGTCACATGCTGCTAAACTGCGGCATAGCCTAATAAAGTTTTATCTTTACGGTACAGTGCAAGTTATCTCCACCAGAACTAGGTTGCGTCGTATTCTGGGATTGCATTTGGTTTAATAGAACACTTGCAACGTCCATAAAAAAGTAGGAATTATTTGGACGGGCATGTTTTTTGTTACTACACTTTTGTCACTTCTCCCATATTTGCCACCACGTTCTAGCGGTTGTAGGCAGACGATTTAGCACCATATATATGTTTATCACTTTTTATATGTTTTTGAACTTGCTGCCTCCGCGCACATAGAGAAATAAAGGTATTGGCTTATGAAAAGAGTAATCTCAATGATGTTAATAACAAATAAAACAATAATATATAACCTTTCATGGCAGGGCAGTGCTGTTTTTTGAAAAAGCTTGTTTGGCCATAGAAATTATTGTCGTTGAGCATGCCCTACAACTCACCCAGTTTTCGAAGGTCTAAACATCAGCGCATTCGTGCCTCCTCAGCCGAGCCCCACTACAAGAATATGGCATTGTCGAGATTCCATAATATGTGCAACAGATAAAATATCGGGACGTCAAGGTGTTTCGTGACACCCTAACGTCGCGTCACACCATGGTGTCACGTGATTGTTAAAGTGCCAGCTGAACGTTTTAAGGACACACACGTTTTTCCAGCGGTGTGTCTGCCTTTTTTGTTCGTCTCTGTGTGTGTGTGTCCTTAAAAAGTTAAACTGGCACTTTAACAAGCATGAACCAACTAGCTCAGCTTCAAGGCGTCACGTGATTTCGTTACACTCCTGATGTCACAGAGCCACGTGATTCCACAACGCCAGGTAGTCCCAAACACATTCAAGCCGTGCTGAGTTCCATGGTCTCCGAGAGTTTTCGAACGCTGGCCGCACTTCTCGGGCCATTTCATTCACTAGTGACTGGGGTGAACTAGAGCCACTAAATGAGCTGCGCTTAGAGTACCGGCACTCCGTTCCCCGACATTGTTGTGGGCGCCGCCATATTGGGGCTTGTGCAGAGCAGACGCAACTGCAGATCGTCATGATTCAAAAGAGCGACTTCCTCAGCATTCGATTCGGTGTTAGGAAGCTCATGTAATATTGCTTTTCTCTGTCGGGGACTGTTTAAACATTTGTGGAGGACGGAAGAGCGTTTCCTGTGATTTCAAATAAAGCTTCAGATAACTGGCAACCATGATTTTAAGCCACAATATGGCAGAGTGTCGTTACTCTGAAGCGTAGCTTATTTAGTGGCACTAGGGTGAACGTTTTTTCAGAAAGTCTCGGAAAAACCGCCGAACCTCAGGGTATTCCAAATAGGTTCGCATAACCTCGGAACAGTGCCAGAATGGCCAGACCACATTATTGGGAGCCGCCACTTTTTTTACCAACACAATCTTTTAAACCGCATTAAATAATCACAATTTTATATTTAAATACCTAATTTAACGAAATAGGCTTGATGAAATAATATGAGGTAAGGACAAATAAATAACGCAAAAAGTTGAAACTTTGTGTCGTTGGTTCAAATAGAGTATTTTTCACAACTTCCATAGTAACGTGTCCCAAAGAAAGCGGGCACGTAGAGGAAATCGATTATCACAAATGACAACGTTCGTTTTCATCGCATCAGTAGCTCGACGACCTGTGTGCTGTTGGTTCCAAGCGCCGTAGACGTTGCGGTTTACGTTGGCACAACGCAGGTTTTATGTGAATGTGAGTTTTTCCGAAGATATCCGACTTTTGCGTTATGCAATCGATCATTCTAACATACAGCTTTGACTGAGCACAAAGCAGGCATTGAGCACCCAAGATAAGTCATGTAGTTTTATTTCCTCTCAACTTTACATACTGAAACAAAGGAAAAACCACACGGGAAACACGAGTAAAAGAAATACATAGCGCCCTATTTATACCTTCTCAAGAGGACGCACGGAGCGCCTATTCATTACAGCAGCACAGGCTGCAAACAAATGACCCTGACAGATTCGTGGAAATGGAGCGTGCTGGTAAAGGTACGGTGTTAAAGGTATACTGAACTCCAGTGTTCTAGAGGGGGTTGTAGTGGCTAAAGCCCCTCGATATGTTTTCGTTTGTCTGTGCAAGTAGCGCCAAATGCGCGAGCGCACGTGGCCCAGGTCTCGAGCGGCCCTTGGAAGCAAATGGCGGCGCAGCACTGAAATGAGCGGCCCTTGGAAGCGAATGGCGGCGGAGCACCCGCTCGTGGCACGTGTCTTGCGCATTTCCACAACAATGGTTGGCGGTACTTGTGAAAACACCTTTATCAAGGGGCTTTAGTAGTGGCAAGAGCGGCGGCCGCTTTTTGAAGATTTTGCGCGTAGACGACACCATGGCGCTGCTGTTCTGTGCCCTAAGAGCGCGCCCCCGGCACCATCATCAGCGCTGTTCGGCGCTTACTACTGTAGTTTGAGTGGAGCTTTTCGCGGTGCGAAACAACTGCTAATGTTGTTCTGTATACTCTGTTTCACCTTATGATGTACCGCAGGAAAGGCTACAAGCGCGAGCTCTTTGCTCTGGGGCACATCTCGGCGGCACAAGCTCTCGTGAATTGAGAGCAGCTGCGAACGCTATGAGTTCGCGCTTCTATCCTTCGCTGCGGTACAACATAAGGTGAAACGAAGTATAGTAAATTGTAGTTCTGCCTTTGAACTAATGCCTCTATAGTCGGTTGCAAGCTAAGAACAATCTTTTAGCTCCACCCACAAGCGCATTGCGCCCATCTGAAGTGCCTCCACCGTCGAGAAAGTAGTCCGCTAGCAACGTTGCTTTTTCTTCCTCCAGGAAACGTGTCTTAAACTACTACAATATTTATTTAATTCATTCAGGACATTTAAATAAGTTAGAATACGTTTTTGTCAACGAAATAGCTGTTTAGTAAAGAAAGAAAGTCATGTACAATGTACCGTCTTCCCAATTCATTTTCTGTCCAAGATACTGTCTAACATACCGTCTTCCAGCTCTCAGCAGTGCTAAGCCTTGCGCCCGCTTCGAAATTTTCGTTGGCGATAGCGTCGCTGGATTCTCACGTTGTCGCGCAAAAACTGCTGCAAACGCAAGCCGATACCATTAAGATTTCGTGGCGTAACCTCGGGCACGTAAAACACGCTGCAAAAAAGCAGAATATTTGTCACGAGAAACTAGCGTCGCGTTGCTAAGGCCAGCAGCCATGTTGAGCTTTTTTTTTTCAAAAGGATCGCGATTGGTCCACGGAATCGTGACGTCATGAAAACGATTGGCTGGCGTTTCTCGGCGTAGGATTACATTTTTCTCTGAGAGGCATTTCCGGTTTTTTTCTTAGCTTGCAACCGACTATAGAGTGTGTGCTATCCTCTACTTGAAATAGTCGCGTGTTTTGAGGGAGATTATTTAATTAATATCGACTCCCCCCCCCCCAGTAGTGACACATCCTTCAGCAACGCTATCACTTGGGCTGCAGGCTTAATAGCCGCGAAAGAAGTTCTACGGTGCTACATTTTGGAGAAGCGTACCGCGCACCGTGGTACCGCGTCACCCTCGTCGTCTTCTTCGTTCATCGCACACGTGCCATTAATTATCCTAGGGCACAGAACTCCAGCGCCACTCGCGGTATCTACGTCGACCGTCTTCACGCGCTTCATTGTAAGCGGGCGCCGCTCTTGCCACTACACCCTCTAGAACGCTGTAACTGAACCAAATAATTTAATGTCCATAATAGGTAGCGCTTGTTCTTTCCACGAGCCAGGAGCCGTTGGTGTGCGCGAGCACACGCAACAAAATTGATGTCATAGTTACCCATTCGCGATTATGATGACAGTAGAATTAATGGGATTCGTAACAAAGGAGAATAAAGACAGGCTCTCATCTTCACTTGTGAAAGATACGCGCTTGTTTGACCAATTGATCGCTTACCTTTTACACCAGACCCCAATGTGGAGATAAAAAGCTTGTCATTATTCTTCTTTTCCAGGAGCCCACACATTTCACTGTCACATTAAGCGTGAACGGGGACTATGATGTCAATTTCGATGCGTGTGCTGGCGCACACCAGCACACGCTCGGGAAAGATCCACTTACTATAGACACTGAAATGTTTGCTTCAGCATTCCTTTAAAGGAGCTGTGCAACGATATTCAATTGGAATGTTTTTCTCTCTACACGAGCTTACTGGCACACCTGGGACTCAAGGATACTCACACGCAACGCCATTGGCCAAGAAACTCCTTTGTTGCGGTGTAATTTCAAGGACAAAAGCGATCATTTTCATTCAATCTCTCCTTTGCAAACTCTGATGACGTAACTCGGGGATCGCAGTACACCCAAGTGACGATATTTGAATGCGGTTCATAGATTGGATCCGAGCATTGCGTGGGCACTCGACTTGGGCTCGTGACAATTGCTAGCTCGAGAAGCATTCGGGTTGTGACCCGTGTCCAATCGCTGCAACGACGACAATAGCCGAGCCATAACAATGTCTGGAACTCAGCGCGTGTCCTGCGCTTTGCCAACCCCAGCGCGTGGCTATGATCAACACTGGCGGCATATAATCGGC